CCTGTAAGGTGACTCAGGTATTTAAGGGAGACCAACGAGATGTCTATCTTCACAGACATGATCCTTTCCTGAACTTGGGTACCTCAGACAGGTCAAGCTTTTCAAAAGTGCAGAGGTGGTAGTTGTGGCACTGCCCTTAACTGAATAGTTTATTGGTTACACCATTCCTTTGGGGGTGTGGGTGTGCGGGTGTGTGTGGTGGTGGTGGATGGGTACATTGACCTAAGTGGACTTGGGCCCGTTAGTACACAATGGACACATCTACATGAGACCCGTAATGAGCAGAAGACTAATTCTACTGCGCATGAGCGTGGCAGGCATAGCTTGTGCTACTACACAGTAGATTTAGTCTAATGCACAGTAGCATCACAAAAAAACTTCATTTGCGCTAATGTGCAATAGCAGCAATTATAGTGCATTAAGTTAGTACCTGTCATTACGGGTACTAAAAACTTAATGCGCCATAATTACAGCACATTAATGAATGTGTAGATGCACCCGCTGTATTCTGGGGCAGGACTTTTCCAGTCTCTCCTGTTGCAGTTGTTTCCTGTTGCGTGGATCAATGGACGACTATTCACTGGACCCAGATGAGAGTGAATGGTTTCCAGTGCAGTGGTTAGTGCTCTCAGCTGAGAGGGGGCAGGGCAGGAGCCAGGGATCTAGTCCCTGCTCAGACAGGTATTTGTGTAAGTATTTTATATGAAATGGAATAGGAAAGGTGGAGTGATTCTTCCCTACCCCTTTGCCACCATCTCAGCATATCCTGTAGCCTAGTGGTTAGGTCACCCTTCTGGGATGTAGGGGCCAGTTCAGACATTTCTTCATCTCTTATTTCCTCTTTCCAAGGTAGGCAGCAGCCAAGCCAGTTCTCATGACATCTGTTGTTACTTTACTGTTTTGCCTTCTACTCAACCCCTAGATCTTAGACTTGCTTTTATTTCAGGTTGAAAGGCCTATGCTATCAGCTAATCCATTCATCTGGCAGGGTGGGAGTGCTTCTTACGTATATATCATATGCTTTGTCAAGTTTGGTTTTAAGTGCCTGGAGTGAGGGGGGTTTTCATCACACCCCTAGGAACACTATTCTGTAGCCTATTATAGTTTACTGCCTGGATAATTTTTCTGATCCAGTTTCTCTTAGTTACTGCATGGCTTCCCTCCCTCTCCCTCAGCTGGCTGACAGAGGCAGTGCTGTCCTGGGGACAGAGCACCTGCCTCTGACAGCAGATGTGCATACTATTTCTGGCTCTGACACTGACCTATTGTGTGAACTTGGGCAAGGCACTTCACCTCTGTTTCTTATCTTGTTTCTCAGTTTAGGAGCTCTTGTGACCCATGTACAGTCCCTTACCACGTGTTTGTCTGGGGACCTTCATCTCGGCTGGGGGCCTCACATGCTACTGTAATGGAAATAAACCACAATGATTATTTATCTGCTGTTTGTATAGGGCTTGGCACAAGGGGACTGGTGCCTTTAGGTGTTGCAGAGATGCAGACAAGTAGTGCATATTTTTTCTTTGTCCATGTTATTCAGACCCCCTTCTACTTAAAGCCTGCAATTTGATTTTAAACATGTAGCTATTATTCACTAGAGCAGTATTGCAAAGACAGAATCAGTTTCCACCTCCCAGGAAGACTTTTGAGGCTTCAGAATTTCTTTCTGTGCAGAAACAAGCTGAACATTTCACAAAACTTTCATAAACTGAAAATGTGAAAAACAAAACTCAGCTTGGATCCATTGAAATGCTGGAGTCCATGACTCCTTAAAGCATTTGTTTTGGTTTTGACAGGTTTTTAATAATAGCTTGTATTATCATTTAGCCAAATGTCTAAATGAATATTTGGATTTGGTTTTTTTTTTTTCCTGTGGGCTGAAATATTTTCTTGAAACATTTTTAAGAAGGGAACTTCCAATACTTTTGCAACTATTTGTAAATAAAAATAAGTCAAGTAATTCATCAAAAGCTATAGCTTCAGTTTCAATTATTTGAGGAAAATGTGTTTTACTGGAGGTTTTCCAACCACCCCTACCTAAAAACGTATCACACTGCTATATTTATGTCTGTACCTATCCATGCATCTTGGGTTGCTGTTGTACCTATATAACTAATACATTTAGTGAAACGGGTTTCTTTACACAGGAAAACATCATAAGGTTTTAGATACCTGGAGTCTTCTTTATGTTCCTCTTTCTATGTGAGGAATGCATTTCTTACATGAAGAGCAGTTGCCCCCTGCTTTTTGAAGGCTCCTTTCTGTTGCATGAGTGACACAGCCCCAAGACCTAAGAGTCGGCATTTTCCTTCCACAATGTGATTCCAATTGTTAAATTGGCAGCATGCCCGCAGACCAGAGTTAACAATTTATGTGGAGAATCTGCACTTAACTGACAAGTTAAAAATAAGCAGAGAGAAACCTCAAAACCCAACTGGTATCAGGAAACATGTAATTAGCTAAGCAAAGGTATCTGAAAGGCATAGAAATAATTTCAAGGTGTGCAGAGGATCATATTTATCCTCTGAGAGGTAGTGGTGGTTGATAGTGTGAAGCTGATGATTGAAGTGGAAAAACAACTTGAAAATGGTCAGTCTGTTAATGACCTCATCCCAGCCCAGAAATAAAAGCACTTTAATTCCATGCTTCCTAACTTATTGGATGAATAACAAATATCGCTCCAACCCCTAGGGTTGAAACCTACTTAGTAACACTGTAGAAAAATCTTCCATCCATCTGTGGATGGAAGCAGAGAGAAACCTCGAAACCTAACTGATATCAGGACAGAAACTTTTTTCATCAGCTAGAAAAAAGTATCAGAAAGTCACAGAAATAATTTAAAGGTGTATAGAGGATCATATTTATCCCCTGAGAGCATGAGGTGGATTCAATATTCAGGATGACTCTAGTAGCTCCGAACATTTTTATATGGGACTTTAAATGGACAGCACGGAGTTACTTCTGATGTAATTTTAAATTCAAGAATCAGAAAATGAATTTGGTAGTGAGGGGTCCTATTAGAAAGGTATGCTGACATCCATGTGAAGGAACAGCATTGCCTTTAATACTCACGTTCTGCAGCTTGATGCATAGTTGGGATATATCTATTGTAGTTTGATTGCACATTCTGAATACATTATTTATGATCAGAGTATGAAACGGAGAATATGCCAGACTGGAAGCAATCAGAAAATATAACCTTTTGCAGAGACTCATTGCCTGGGGTGTTAAATAGTGGTATCCAAATACAGCAACAGTTTCCTGGGTTACCGGATAATGAATGAGTCTCTGAGGCAAGAATGTCTCTTAACTCAAACAAGGTTGCTTAGGACAATGAGACTAATTTTCAGCCTTGTAAGATTAGAATCCTGAGCACGCTGAGGAGTATAGTTCATCCTCTTGAGGCTTACAGTTATACCAAAAAAGAGTTATCCTTGCCTTCAGTATCCTTTAAGTTAACATGCTGCTACTTTGATAAGAAGGGATATTGTCAGGAAGTTTGGGCCTGAAAGTTAAGCTTTACAAGAGAGAAGTAGGCTTTTACAAAATCTAACAGCAAGAGAAATGTTGTCATGGAAAATAAAAGTGAGGGGAAAATGAAGGTTTTGTTTGGATTTAAACATTTCTCTGTTTGCAATTCAGACATGATGGATGTGTTCCAAGTGCACTGGGACCAGAAAGCAAAACCAACTATGGTTAAAATCATGCTTTAGCACAGTGGTGCTGAACCTTTTTGCCCAATGAGTCTGAGGAGCAGTGCCTGGTCCACCAGTGGGCTGGATCCAGCCAACAGTCCCCATCTGGCACCAAGGGTTGGCACAGCAGGGCTTCATCCGGGGGGGGGTGCCCAACCTCAACCCAGCCCCGTGGGCGAGGACAGAGCGAGGGTACATGGTTCAACCCCAACTTGGCCCTGTGGGGGAAAGGATAATGACCTGGCCACAACCAGTCCCCGCAGTGTCGAGGGGGCATGACCCGGCCATGTGGGGCCAAGGGTTTGGGCATTTGACTGTGGGAAAGGGTGGCCATATTAGTTGCTACTGCTCCCCGGCTGCCAAATTTTCCAACTGGGGGTGGGGATTTCACTATTTTCATTGTTCAAGTGGCACAAAATGCACAGGTAAACTTCTTGGTGGGCTGATAATCTAAGATAAGAAAATTGGTGTTTCACTTAGCACATTGTGCCTCTATTCTACCCCCTGGGCTCTATCATTTCACACTGAACAACCATTATGAAGTCACCTGCATCGCCAGCAATTACAACCAGGGTTGCCTGCACCTTCAGGCTGTTTCCCAGCATGGTTTTGTGACACTAGGAGAATGAGCAGGTATTTCTCACAATGGAGACCAAAATACTGTTTTATAAGCAGGTTATTGAGCAATTTCAAAGCTGAACAAGAATGTGAACAAGTATGCTTGGGGTCTCCCTTCTAACAGGGAGGCTGAGGCAGGGGAATGAGGCAAAGACTGCAGGAGTCCACTTGCATGTCATGCTGCAGGATTAGACCACTCTTGGCAGAGGGCAAGTGCATCATCAGCACATGATTGTATCAAGCTGCAGCAGGACAACAATCTCCAAGAAACATCCCCGTTTTATTTGTGCAGGAGCAGCTGATTCCCGATGCGCTAATTGGAATTAGCAGGACAGGAGAACTCCAGATGGTCTCCCAGTCTGTCTTCTGCCTTGTGGATAAAAATGGGCTCATTACACTTCTCTGTTAGAAAGTCTCTTTAAAGAAGGCTTTCAAAGGTAAATCATCTCTTGGTGTCATGGGGACATCTTCCTCTTGCCTTTTGCTTGCCTGCCTCTGCTCTCTAGCCTGCTCTGGGACTGTTTGCCATGGCTGGGCAGGTGTCGGAGCTCCTCTCAGAGGCTGTCAGCTCCGTTTCCTGACTGTCTGTGGCTTTTGCTGTTACGTGACAGGAGGTTCTGCCTTCTGATGTACGTGCTGTGGGTACTGCTCTGCTGTACTGTTAACCTCTTGCTGACCTAGGAAATAAGGGAACTGAAATCAAGAATTGATAGTATTGTGGTTTCAGAGTACACAAAAAGCCCTTTTGTGGAAATGTGAGCATTTCCCCACAGTTCTTCTGAAGGTCAAACACAAAGCAGAAGAGACATACGAAAGTGAAGCTTGCATGTAGATTGCTGCTGAGCATGAAATTCTGCAGAGCGTCTGCCTACGTGCACTGTCCTTGTCCTTTACCTTTAGGTTGTGCTACTGAACTCTCCAGGCAGCTCTGAGCTCGTGTGAAGCTCTGAGAGTATCCTGGAGGCTGCTTCTGTCTAAGGATTTCGGAGCTGCTCTTGCATTTGGGTCACTCCAGAAGGTCACAGAGGTCCGGGCTGGGCAAGGACATGCAATGTGCTGTAACTCTGGACTGTAGAAATGGAGAATTGCATGCAGCAGGGAACTGCAACCATTTTCCTGAAGTGCATCACAGCTCAACTCAGAGATTGTCTCCTAGTCCCTCTCCCCTTCTCTACACAACTGGGCAGAACATCTCCCATCACGCTGGTGTTTTTAATATTACCTGGGCAACTGGAACCTTGCTTTACATTGGATTACATTGTATTTTTAGTTTATTTTAATGCAATTTAGCAGCTAGAAACAAAGAGGAAATTTAATATCAGTCAGACCTCTGCAGACTGCTAGTAAGTACTCCATGGACCACAGCATGGGAGACGCATTAATATTGCATTTACTGTATATCATGCCTTGTGTCTGAGAATTTAAAATCCCTTTGCATGCAGTTAAACTAATCACTTCTCATTTCACTAAAGAATATCACTTTGATCACAGCTGATTCGCAATTAAGTGCTGAACCTAAATGAGTGGATGGGGCTGACCTAGGCAAAAGACTTGAAAAGCAAGGAGGGAAGCCCAGCAAACAGGAGTTTGTGTGGAAGTTGTCCTTGGTGAGAAAAAAAAAGAAGTCCTTGTTCCTGGGGTAAGGAACATTGTCTTTCTTTTTGTCTGTTGCTTGGTGGTTTGTAAGGTCTGTGGTTTAGTTGGAGCTTGTAGCTTACAGAGTCTGCTTGGGAGTGGGACAGGGGCCTTGAAGTAGATGGACAGTTACCTGGTGAACCTAAATAAGGGGACAGGCTGCCCTAAGTAAAAGCCTTAAGCAGTCAAGCAGCCAGCAAACAGTTTTGTGTGGCATTTGGGGGCATTTGTTTTATTTCTCCTTCTTGAATGGTAGAGGCAAAGGAAAGAAGATAATGATGGTGATGGAGGTAGTAGTGCAAGTGAACCCAAGCATGGAAGAGAGCGAAGAAGCAAAAACCTGGAGGATGTACATTATCCTTGTGCAGGAACCTGATGGAGGAGGTATGTATGCAAGGCAAGAAGTGCTGTCTGACACAAGTCATGGATGAGACGATGCAGGGACTTGAGAGAATGTTCTATGGTGATTTGAGGAAATGATGGAGGACAGGGGAGATGAGGCTGCATGGACAGTCCAAGACCCTGCAGAACATGAGGATGGGAAGGGCAGACCCTTGGACAAGGAAAACAGCTTGTGGGAGCATGTGGTTATAAGAACTAGGCTTGTCCTTTACCTTTACCAAAGACTCACTACACTAACAAGAGGTGCTGCTATTTGGGGGATCAGACTTTTGAAAGAACTGGCATATTAAATTGCAGGTGAGGTAGCAAGTATCTTTTATATAGCTATCAAATCAGGCAGAGAGCCTTCTGATTGAAAACAGCAAAGGGAGTATGTATAGTTAAGAAGGGGAGAAAAGTATCCTAGGCAACTGCAGGCTCATGAATCTGATTTAAGTCATGTATAACATTTTAGAACAAAATTTGAAGGGAGGAATAATTAAAGGAGATGGAGGGAAATGGAATTATGGGATAAATGTGCAACTTGAGCTTAGAACAAATAGTTTGTGCCAGACTAAACTGATATCCTTCTTTCATAAGGACTAATTTTTCTAGGCAAAGGAGATACAGTAAATATTGTCTATTTAGACTTGAGTCAAGGATTGAATATGGTGCCACCGGGGTAGTTATTAGTTATGCCAGGGAAGATGTGGATTAGATGAACTGGCAGAATGGGAAGGAAACTGGTAATTGGGATGAGAACACTGGATTATGTTGAAAGATAAAATATAAGCCTGGAAGGAGGTCACTAGTGAAATTGTTCAAGAACTGGTCTGGTGAGTAGTGCTGTTTACCAGTAAGATCTTCATTAGTGATCTTGCTGCAAAAACGAGGTGTCCGCTAATAAAATATGCTGGTGGCACAAATTTGAGAGAAATCATGAACACAAAGGAGTCTTGGATTATTATATAGAGAGAACTAGATGACCTTGAGAACTGCAAAAGTAGAAATGTGATGAAATTTAATAGCACAGAGTGGGAAGTCCTGTACTTAGGACACAGATGTGCTGGTTCAGTGGTGCTCAACCTTTCAGCTCCGCAAGCTGGATGACTGGCATCGGATCACTCCATGGGCCAGATCCCTTGAAGATTTGGCATGCAGGATTAAGCCCTGTATACCCAGATTGAACCTCACACCACTTTGGCCCAGCCCTACATGCCCAGAGCAGGCCTCACACCAATCCAGCCCTGTGTACCTGATCTAGAGTGCAGGGCCACACTATCTGGCCCACCAGACTCCCCATAGCTCTGGCAACTTGGCAGTAGGACAGCAGTAATGAATGTAGCCACCATTCCCCCATCACCAAATTTTAAGACCGGTGGAGAGCCCGGCAGGCTGGATGACATCGCCTATGGGCCAGGGGTTCAGCACCTCTGTGCCAGTTGATCACAGAATGACTGGTGCTGTCAGTTGGATGTAGCTATTAGAAATGCAAATGGTGCCCTAGGATGTTTTAATAGAGATGGAGAAGGACGTGGCCCAACTGTTCTTGGAATACTGCGTACAGATCTGGTCACCCACATTCAAGAAAGATTAATTCTAACAGCAGGTGCAGTGACAGGTAATCGGGAGGATTGCAAGCCTATCTTCTGAGAAAAGACTGGAAAAGCCAACTTTGGTCAGCTTAGCAAAAGGAAGGCTGAGAGGGAATCTGATCACTGTTTATAACTACCATATTTTCTCACATTCAACTGCCCCTTTTCCAAAAAGCAACTGCTGGTGATTGGAGTGCACATTACATGTGAGAAATATGGTAAGAACAGTTTCTGCAGCTTGCCAGACAACAGCAAAAGTGAAGGCTGCAAGGATCCACAGGGAACAGGACAGTGAGCAGTCTTGGCTCCTTTATCCCCTGCTCCTCAGTTACTTACATGGGAAATCGTTTTTCCCTTCATTCTGCCTTTCAAAAAACAAATTGTATATCTCATTTTAGGGCATGTTACATGCACGATAGTACAATGTATCTCTGGGATAACTACCAGCAAGGAAGGCTATTGTTGGCAGAAAAACAAATGGGTTTAAACTAACCAGAGATATAATTTAGGCTAGACCAGCAGAGCACTGAGGATTGGGACAGACTTTGATTGGAGCAACCACTCATCAGATGGAACTAGATCAGTTTTGTGGAAGGATATCATGACACGGTTACCTGTGCTGTCTGGGGACTGGACTCAGTAGTCCTGGAGTTCCCTTCTGGCTCTATGTTCCTGTCTTCAAAGGACTGCCTAGTTACTTATGGATAAAAGGGCATTGGAGGGCACATTTTTGCCTACTGAGCCAAATCCTTGGATGATCTAAAATGCTGAAACCTTTTTGTAGAGTGATGGCAACAAGACAAGAACTCAGACCAGATATAGCATTAGAGAGACCACAGTGTTGGACCGAGGAGCTTGAAAAACCCTGACAGTTAATGGTAACAGCTAAAGCAAAACAGCTACCTAGCAACAACGCCTGACAAGGCAAAGAATTCCTAGTTGCCTAGTTGACCAGCCATGAAAAAAATCCTAAAGCATAGATGGTAGGAGGACTCATGGTTGGAAATTGTGCTTTGGAAGACACAGAAAACCTGAATTTCCAAGCAGGAAGGTCATGTGATCATGCCTTGTCTGACGTACAGCTTTGGCTGAATCTAAGATGGGTGTACCCAAATGTTTGGCACCCAGAATTTAGGTAAACGTTTCAAAAGAGTTTTGCATCCAGCTTTCCTGTCCTCGGTAAAATCTGACCACCTAACTCCAGTGGCTAAAAGAGTTTTGGAAATCCAGTCTCAGATGCGAGCCTTGAGCCTTCAGGCTGTTGTATCTTTACAAATCTTTTTATGTTGACTGCTGCTTAAGATGAGTTGGTGGTGTGAGACACTGACGCCCAGGACAGATTGAATTTTATTAGCAGATGTTTAGGATTGTGAATCCAAAAAGATGACAAAGCCAGTAGGGAAATACAAATTGCCCAAGCGAGGGACTAACATGAGAGGGATGGGGGTGAGGAGGGGAACGCAACTAGGTTACAGAAAATACAATGTTAGCCAACTAACCCCAGGGGCTCTACAGGAGCCCTCTGTCCATAGCCAATAGCAAGAATTAGGAGAGTCTCTTAAATAAGTCCTTTTGTCATGCATTCAAATTTTGGGCAACATGACTGTTTAAATGACCCAGACAAGCTTTTATAACAAAGTCATATTTAACAGGAGATGAGGAAAAGAAGTGGCCTTCAAGTTCAACTCTTTTTTTCCTTTGTGATTCAACAAGCTCTGTTTCTGTTTCAGGAAACAAAAAGGCAAAAGCCACGAGGGAAGGTTTAACTGTGGATCACTCGGCTCTCAGCAGGTGGCCTTGCCAAACATGAAGATCTCGTTCTGAAGAATGTGAGAGAAGTGGATTCTGCTTGTGAGCATCTCATAGCCTCTTTAAATCAAGTGTTTCTTGTGTCAGCTACCCACCACGTCAAGGAATCGGACATAAGCAGCATTCTTTCCCAGACTGGAAATCTATGTTCTCTGCTCCCTCTCTCGGGGTGAGCCATGGCTTTTTCAAAAAGCATCTCCTCTGAGCAAGAGGTTCATCTTCATGGTCTATGAAGAGAAAGTATAATTGCTTTGGAGGGCTCTGCACATCTCCAAGGCCTGGTCCCAACATTAATGATTAGAGGAAGGATTCCCTGTGATGTCCACTTAAAACATGCACTGCTGAGACCATCGCAGGGGAGCAGTGTGAAAAGGGATAGGACAGACCTATCTAGTCTTGTTACTGCAAGGAAAAGCTGCTCACCTGTAAGACAAGGAGGAGAGCATGTCCCTCTGATGGAGCAACTCTTCTGGAACATTTCCTGCCTCTTGCACATCCTGTCATGCGTCACCCACAACGACTTTTCATCCCCAGTGAACCAGGCCCTTCAAACCCCTCTTTAAGACCTACTTCCATGAGGCCCATAGAAAGAAATAGCAAAGATATTATTTGAGGAACAAATGCATCTGCCTCTAGGCTAATGGCCCTCACCAGAGATCTGCCTTGTTACCTACCACTGGATAGACAAACTGGTGCAAATCCTTGCTTGAAACTTGAGCTGACAGATCATGGTGCAACGGGGGTTCATTCCTGTGCAGCATCCTCAGGGCAGGCAAAACTGAGGTCCCTGAGGGAACTTCCTTTTCCTGTCTCTACAGTGAAAGCTCTGCCAGGCAGCAATTATCTTGAGACTGTTGCCATGCTAACCTGGTGATTAGAGCACTCTTCTGGGAGCTAGGAGAGGTGGGTTTGAACCCATCTGGCCACAGAGGACCATGAACTCATGTATTTCATTCCTTGGGCAAGTGTCAGGTACCAAGAGCCTTTTGTCACTATGACTGCCTCACTCCATCTTAAAAGAAAGCAGTGGTGGCCTGATTTATTACCTGGGTTCGGAGAATGCTGACCAGGTGGAACTCCTTGCTTCTGGATCCCTTATGCGGGAACAAAGCGCCATCCTCAGCCCTTCGAGGCAGTTCTGGGCACGTGCAGAGATGTGACCCTAGGCACCTGGGGAAATATAGAGCCAAATAGCAAGGTGTTTAGGGGGATTGGGTGCCTCCAGGTTAGCTGGCAGCTGAGCAGAGGTTTTCAGGATTGCAGTTTTGAGCTTTGATGTCCAAAAACTCATTAAATTCCTTATTAGGCACCTGTGTCCTTTTTGGGCTTTGGCGTCTTGTAGGTATAAATCAATTTAGTGCTGGGGGTAGCAGTGCTATGTTTAGCCATAGCACAGCACTGTACAGCAACAGAACAAGGTCTGCACGGTGCCCCACCAATCTGCCATGCCTCTCCTTGGGCCATCAGCTCTGTAACTGGCCCCATTCCTCTCCAGAGGCTACTATGGTTAATAGGTCTCCTTGTTCATTCAGTCATTAGCTTTGCTCATGGGTATGCCATCAAGGCTGTCATTCGTGGATGTGGTCGAATGACAGACTCTGCCCCCTAGGAACTACGCCAGGTTTACCAGCTCATTTCACAAGGCCCCCGAACAGCCTTCTGTCAGTCACTACAAGTCTGGGCTGAGGTTGGACCAGTATCACGGGGGGGACAGGCTCTTTTGAGCCATCTGTGTTACAGGAGTTTGACAGTTTCTATATAAAATACATTAACACTTGGACAGAAGAGAAATCAACTCTAAAGATACATTTTTAAGGGGAAGAACCGTCCAACAACCAGCTATTACAGAGAAATAGGACTACAGATGACCAAGTTACCTCCTGAAGATTTTTACACAGTCAACATTAGAACAACAAATATATTTCTGTTTGTTTAATGCGGTGGTTTTTAGCTGCCATTCTCTAGGCCTACTTGTGTATGTCTATTCCTTCTCCAGGGTGATCATTTGAATTTCCTTTGTTGATGTAGTATTGAGATACCTAGGTGATTATTAGTATAAAAGTGAAACCTATGCCAAGAATATGCTCCAATAGTAACCCATCTTCTACAACAACCTTTTCAGTACAATTTTAAGCACCCTATAGTTAAATGCCAGCCCTGAGTGGGTAAGTATTTTGGGGTTTGTTTGTTGTTTGTTATCATCTCTCATCTAGTTTCATAAAGGCAGGTGCCAAGAAGATACAAACCATGGAATATACTGACAAAAATGAGGACAGACAAGATTGAATTAGCATGGAAATAATTAGTTTTTAGAGAGGAATGTAATTCTTTTAGTTAAGATTCTTTTAGCTCATTCTCAGTGGGAAGACACTAAGAGAAATCTTCCACTGGATGCCAGCAAGGAGAAAAGAGGGTGTTATTGATTCCTGGTACTCTTTGTCCCCTGCCACTTTCAAATACAAACAGTCACCGTTAGACTTTTTTTTTTTTTTTTTTTTTAATCCTTGCTTCTGATTGCAATGTGTGGGTCACTTAGCATTAGCTAATGTTAAGCTTGAGGGACAAATAATAAATAAACCACTAATCTTTGATTTTGGCACATAATTCTCAGTTTGCTAATTCTCTACAAGTTCTTTCTAGTCTTTCTAGCCCACTGAGAAAGAGAAACCTTTAGCCCACATGTAGAGTTAATCACAGATAGCAGCAATTAGGTTGCTACAGGAGTATGTGGTCAAGCAAGCACAGCACTAAAGTTTGTTAGGTTTCTGATACTGGCTCAAAGGAACAGGGGATATTTTCTTTGGTAAAGTCACTTTACTTTCTTAGGGGTATTTCAGGCCTCAGAAAGGGGTTGCTTTGAAAGTGGTAATCTGAGGCAAAATGTTATCAAGCCAGATGCAGATGGTGGCACCTCTGTGAAAAATGGCTAGAAGGAAAGGATGTGTTTTTCACAGATTATTTTTTACTAGAATATTTTTGCCTTGGCTAAAACATTCAGTTGGAACATATTTCAAAAGCAGCTCAAGCTCAATAGAGCTCCTTTTCCAGGTAGAAAAGGCCACTAGGGCTGGGACAGTTGGTTTGACGGGTGCCACATTTGACAATTTTATCCCTGTTATGATTATAATGAGACCTCCTTCCCACAAACTCACTCAGATCTCCAAGAAAGGGTGTACTTCTTTTTCTCTTGGGAGCAAAGCTAATTTTGGGCTAATTTGGGGCATTTCCTCTTGAAACCTCAGTAGAGCATAGAGGGGGAAACTCCATCAGGTTGGATCCTGTCCTTAAATTAAAGCAAAAGCATAGAGAAAAAGTGGTCATGGCTAAGTCTGAAACTCCAGCAGCCCCTAGAAAGAAGTTGCACTTGAACCTCAGACTGGCCATAGTAACAATTGTACTAAGCCTTTGTACAGTGCTTTATATGAGAGCCTAAATTAAATATATTCTTCCATGACTCCTTAAAGCAAAGTACACAAGCCGTGTTGGAAGCAGGGTCCAGAATCCAGGATACTCCCTCAACAGCTAGCTACAGAGACATATTCCTTCATGCATGGTCACCTCCTGGTTCCAGGAGTCTTGCCCTTTTGCCTGCCCAGTTAAGATGCTCTCTTGGAAGATGGGCAGCAGGGTTGAACTCTTCTCAAGGAGAGGAAGACTCAGAGCTTGCATCTCCTACTTCCTGGTGAATATTCCAACCTGATCTTTGAGCTGTTGTTTTAAAAGACAAGACAGAGCCAGTTGCCTTTGTACAAAGGGACAACTTAGGGTTTTGTCACAGCAGCATCTTAGCACCGCACTAAGAAGGACCTGAGTACACCCTACCCACTGTGTCCTCAAGCAGGGAGGCTGCTCCGACATGTTGTAATTACAGTGCATCAGAACAGACTTGATTAATTGAGTCTACTGGAGCGTGGTAATTACTGCACTCTGGCAGACTCTAGCGTCACGTATATCAGTGTCCCTGTGCTGAAAAATGTTCAGTGAGCTTTAGTTAAAGAGCCCCTGCCACCATTTCTCAGCATGTGGACACTGATACACATGACGCTCTGGGTGCTATAATTAGAGTGGCTCTTGGAGCTGCTCTAATTAAAGGATGAGCCCCAGACATCCTCCTCAATGCACTTTGCTTTGGAACATGTGAGGACTGTACTTGGCCCTCTGTGTTGGTGTCCACCACTGCAATCAGTGGTCACCAACCAGTGGATCTCGATCCACCAGTAGATCTTGGAGCCTCTTGGAGTCAATTTGAGGCTGGGGTGGGGGGCTAAGTGCCTGCATGTATGCATGAGCATGTCCCAACCCAGCAGATCAGTCTGTGGGGGAGGGAAGGGGCGAGGGCTATATTGAGGCCCCCACAGTGAGGGACAGTGCCACAGAGGCAGGAGCAGGGGTAAGTTGTAGGGCTGTGCGAAATTTTGCTGGCAGTTTTGACTCATTTTGAGCTTGAAACAGCAAAATCAAAATGAAATGAAGGGCTTCGAAACAGCCTTGAAACGAAACGAGGGCAGTCAAAACTTTTCGAAGTTTAAAAACGTTTCAAGTTTCGAAGCAGCTGGGCTGAGTTCCCTTCCCCAGCCCAATCGAAACAGCTTTGAAACAGTAAAACGGTTTTGACGAAATGGAACAGAAGTGTTTTCGAATCGAAACAAAGCTCGAAATGAAACACTGTTCCATTGAAATGTCTGCGGAAGAGGAACACTGCTGTTTTGCACAGCCCTAGTAAGTTGAGCAGGGCCCCGGCCGGGTGGGACTTACCCGCTGGGCAGGCATGCCCCCAAATAATTTTTTCTCCCGCTGCCTCAATCTGCTTGCCCCCTCCCCCACGCTTACCTGCTGGACGGGAGGGCAGGGGGGAGCGGGTGTGGCGGCAGCACACGGTAGATCTTGGGTTGCTTTTAAATGCCAAAGGTGATCTCCTACTTAAAAAGCTTGGAGACCAGTGATATAGACATCTTCAGGAGGGCCCTTATGTCTTAGGAAGGGATTCTGAGCAGTGGATCCCACACTTACAAAGGCATCTAACTGCAGCTTAAGGCTAGGAGAGCAGCTGGAGTCCACATATTTCCTGTTGGCTAGTTTAGGTGTGCCCTTGCTTAGTGTGCTACATATTGTGAATTTCCATCCTCTGTGCCCAGCAATCTTTATTGGAAGTCCAGGGAATTTGGGCATCTGACCTGGGCTTATGAATCCCACTGCTGGAGCTGAGCCCTGTAACTTTGTGGTGTGAGAACACTCAGCATCACCGTGCCTAAGTTCCTTGGCACATCTTGCCCTAAGTGCCCCCCAATGGATGCCTGACCCTGCCCTCTGTCTTTCACCCCATCCTGTGCAGGTAAGTTCCTGGAACGTGGAGTGAGGCATTGCCTTGCCGTCTCTCCGAAGCCTGGCCACCACAGAAATGCTATGTTAGGAAGTGCTGGGAGACT